GGCAGTTGCTTCACAGAACTGGTGGGTTTTGGCTTTTCCAGCAAGAAATTGGATGACATCCTCTCTCAGGTCTGAAGATGATACCCTTCTCTAGAAATAAAATGTATTGAAATTACACATGCCCTCCTATTTTTGTCTCCAAGACTAAGAAATCTGACATCTTATTGCCATTATTTGTGCAGCAGAAGTTGAATTGGAATTTTCCAAAACAGATGATTAATGTATAAGACTTTGCAATTTAATACTAGGGTTTTTTTCCCTGCACAAGCATCTTGGATCCTGTTTTCAGCAACTGATTTAACATATAAATTGGCCAAACTTGGCAAAAGTCAAGAATATTTAATAGGATACAGATGGTACAGCAGAAAGCAATATCTAGAGATTTGGGTGACTTGAATGCTCTTTAGCCCTCTACCAGCTGCTTTGGCTCAAGTGTGAATGAAGACCTTTTAAGAATCAATAAGTGTATATTATGTTGTGCCCACCCAACTAAGCTGACACCAAAAACAAAAGCAACCATATGGTTTTAAGTTTATTAATGAACAGGGCACTATAGCTTGATACTCAAGTTTAAATATGTTAATTTAATATCATCAATTCCTTGCACATTGCTAATTTCCATTGGCCATCTAATACAAAGAAATGTAATTCTCTCCAGATTTTCAGTTTCAGTGGTAACAGAAAATAAAACAGACAGCAATTGCCTGAGGCTAGAAGAAAATGGAAGAGACACTCAATTTCTTTCTTTACAAACCATAATAAAATCACAGTCAATAGATTTTAGTTATTGGAATCATAAAACAACACTAGCTGCAGTTAAGAATTAAGTCCTTTGGGGCTGTAAGTGCTCTATATGGTGTTTTCAGCTTGTAATGAATGATTACTAATTACAAGGCTCAGATTATATTGCAGGCATTTAAGTGCTGATGTCCCACTATAATAAAGCTGAGAACCTCGAGCAGTGTCCTCTTTTCTTTTTTATGCAGCAGCACACTGCATTTGATGAATTGATCTTCAAGTTCCTAATAAACGCTAAAACATAAGTGATGGAGTGGATTCCAATTGTAAATGGATTCCTGGGGCATTAGATGCTGGAGGCAATATCCTAACAATCCTCCTTGCTTTCCTCTAGCATTGACTTGTTATTATGTTCAGAGGCTCTTGTGGTTGTGTTTATCATGAGTAGCATTATTGCCACAGTTCAAACTATTTACAGCTGTGAAATCTTCTTGGCAAAAATAAAAGAAAAAAAGTGGAAGACAAAAAAGATACTAATCTATCCCATCACAACAGTACCAACAATCATGATCAAACAAACAAACAAATAAATAAAAACTGGAACATGAGAAATTCTGGCTTAATTTTGGAAAGGGAACTCTGGAGGTGATTAAAAATGACAATACTCAGAGATGCACTGATCATTACCCTAAGCCACCTGCTATCATTGGACCTGCTTCAAGCAGGGACTGGGGTTGGTGACCCAGTTGGTGATCTGAAAATTTCAGATTTTCACCACACTATACCCGTAGTGAAATTTCACTTGCAAATTTCTATTTCAGCTAAAGGCCTAACAGCTTGGATTATGTACCAAATATATTCTCCATTAGTGGATCTGTGTCTTCCCCACGTGAAGAGGGCACAGCACTCAGCTACAGCTATATATACAGATACCTCTGAGGTAAAAGACAACAGGGAATTATCCTTTTCAGCAAGCAAGGGGCTACTTTGTTTCCTGGGGGCATTGCTGCCTCCTGTCCAACCTGAGGCACCAGATCCTTTGTTGCAGAACTCCTTCTGACTGGTCAGCCCTACCCTGTCCAGCTGCAAGGCTTTATTCATCCCAGGTATCAGGCTTTCCATTCAGTTTTGGTGGACCTTGTGGGGTTCCTGACTACCCACTTCTCCAGCCTGTCCAGGATCCCCTGCAATCCTACCTTCCTCTGTATTAACTCTTTCTATCAACATGAACTACTCACAGACCTTTACATTGACTCAGAAGTTAGTCATTCATGCTATTATTAACTTGTCACATCCATATCTCACCAATTTGGTTATAACATTGTAAAATACAAAAGACACAGGATGCTTAGTACTTTTGAGACAGTCACTTCTTTTATGACAAAAGAGAGTGTAAGCATGTTTACATATTTTAGAATGGAATCAAACAGAATAAAAAAGATGGTAAAATTAATATAAAATATCATTTATTACATTTTTGTGATTTAAAAAATCACAAATAGATAAGTACTTTTTAATTTAAGTTTTTTTTTTAGACATATAAAGTAAATTAAGTAAATTATATTTTTAAATAAACTAGCTTCAAAGAATAAGTATTAATTTTTTTCAGAAAATGTGATTAAAAGCATACCATCATAATCACAACTTTAGAATTAGCAGATTAGTTAAAAACATCTGAGTAGTTAAGCAAAGAAAACTTTTGACAGATAAGGCTGCCAGAGACATTTCTACATTTTTTAATTTTTTCCTCACATCCGGCATAAGTGTCTTAGTTGGTTCCTACTGCCTCTCATTCTCATGCCCTGTACCACTACTACTAAGCAATACAGTTAAAAAAATCACATTAATTTCACAAGTACCTTAATCTAAAACATCTAATCTACATTTTAAATAAGTAAAGACACATAGTGGGCTTAAACACACTTGGTGCCAGGTGAAAATCTATTACAAAATCTCATTTGTAGAAGTTCCTGTTTAAATTCGCAATTTCTATGGAATTGTTTTTGTTGGTGGTGCCTTTCCAGCAATCACAAATCATGGATGAAAGAGGGTCTAGAAATCCTTATGGATCTATCAGTCTGGTCAGAATAGAGTCAGGTAACAGAACTGTCAAAAAAGTCCAATGACTCTTTGGTTCACAACTTTCATTATGAACAGTTGCTGGTGACTTATTAACCTTGGTTTTCCTAGTAAAAATAGAGGCATTTTAAAGTGCTGCTGATAGCAGTGCATTCATGTTGATACTATATGTCAAAGATCACACACCCGTCATCACACCCGTCATGAACTGCAAATGTGCTTCTCAAAAATTATGAAAATACTTTTCTGATTTCACTACATCACACATTATATTCTGAAAATAATTCTTTGTAACATTTATTTTGTCCTTTTCATCATCTGTTAAATCAAAATTCATTTAAAGGAAAATTTCTTTCATTTTCCTGCCTTCTCTGTTTTCTCTAACTCTTCCGATCTTATTACAAAAAACATCTTCTCATGTCCAGTATTTAAATTTTTAATTTTTTTTTTAAATTAACTTCTCATTCTCTGCTTCTATCTATATTTCTCATATTAAGGTTAAAAAAAAAATACAAAAGAGCAAGCACATGCTAAAGGATGCTTAAATGTTCCAGCTTAAATATGGTGAAATTTAGTTCACTGAGCCTATCTAGTTCCATCTCGGAAATTAATAGGCATGTTAGCTACATTTTTAAAAATATATATATTCTAGAGATGTGAAGATATAATAGCCAGATCACCTGTGCTATTTTATTGTAGAAATAAATTAAGATGTGAAGATATAATAGCCAGATCACCTGTGCTATTTTATTGTAGAAATAAATTTGTAGATTAACAGATGTGTTAAGATTTGTGCAGGATAAAAAGAAACTGAATACTTGCTAATAAAAAATAATGGATGAAAATAATTATTACAAAAATATTAAACTATTCAGCTGCAGATATTCAGGAGGTTGAATTCAGAAATACTTAGACAAATAGATACACCAATTAAATACATATGCTGGGTAAAACTGGTATTCACCACATATTGTGGCATTAGTATAATATTAGATATGCTAATTTGGTACAATTAACCTTTTGTAATTGCTTTAAAGACCTTGTCTAACCATGCAGAATATTACTTCATTGAAGAAATAACTGATCAAGTGTAAAACTAGAGGCAAGGCTTCAAGAAACTAATTATACTGTCTGGATACAGTACATTTTTCCTGCTAAGGTTTAAGTCACCTTTATATATTCATATATTCTTCCAGACAATTTTAGTAACAGAGAACGGTTGCTCAAAGTTAAATATTTGGTTTTCATTTTTGTCCTCTGAATTTGAGCTGCAAAATGCAACCAAATACTTTCACAGGTTGGGGCAGAGGAAAGAAAGACGATACAAGCAGTGTAGTTTAAAATTGTGTGTTAAAATTAAGGATACTATTTGCAAATTTTATGCTTCATTGCCCAACATATGCTGACTCAGACAAAAAGAACTAGCACAGATGTTTTCCCAGTAATATGTTCCTTAGAAATTGGCCAAGTGGCAGGATGCTAGAGATCAATCACTTGAGTAAACTGAATGTGGGCTAGTATGGGTTTTGAGTGATGTCAGTTACATGGAACAGATTTCCTGAATTAGAATTTTACTCTATATAAGCAAAAAGGGAACACAGATATTGAAAAAAGTTAGTCTGAAATAGTTTTGCTTTTTCATAGTACATCAGAGCCTTACTCATTAATATTGAGGGGTAGCCCTCCTCTTTAGTTTGTGGTAAAGCCTTTGACATTTAGATTCTTATTGCCTAAATCATTTATTAGTTTAATAAGCACACAGCCCTTAGTTCCACTTCTTCACATTTTGGCTAAAATGCTTTGGACTATTTCAGTTCCATGTGACTCACATGAGAAATGAAGAAATTCATCCAAGAGAAATGTTCAGACTGAAAGCATAAATTTAACTTCAGAGCCTGGGAGACTTTCCGTTGATACCAAGTACTATCTTTGCAGATATTCTTTGCAAGTGTCTATATTTGCAAAGAAAGAAGACTAATGTCTTTGTTTTCTTTAAGAAAAAAGACACAATATTAGCACCAAACACATTTCCTATCTATTATTAACATTATTTAAAAACTTACAAGAAATGTGGTATGACTCAGCTAGTAACTACACAAACATGAGTAAGTGCTGTACTGAATCTTGTGCCCTAATAAATGTAGTCAAACAAATAAATGCAAAAGTACAACAGTAAAGCAAGGAAAATTTTTTTGAGATTTATTGTTTTATTGCCATTTAATGTGACACGTCTTGCTAAATTCAGAAGAACTTTTGTGTTAAGCAGTAATGTTTTTCTTGGAAGAAGATTTCCAAGTAACTTTCCTGTTAAAAATTTCATATGACTTACAAATACCATCTAAATCTATTTGTAACATAAAACACAACATAAAAGCAAGCCCAGCTGGGCGAACTGAAATACTTAGTCATTCCTCAAGAGTTTAATTGAACTTTGAACTGACATTCCTGAAAAAATTAACCTCAAATCATACATTTCCACAAAACTTTTGACCTGGAGATCTAAGCTATTCCAAAGGGGCGTATTAAAGACAAGAATATGCTAAAAAATGAAAAATCAACATTTGCAACATATTTTGAATTCTAAGAAACGGACACTTTTCTGAACTTTAAAATTATTTTTTCAGCCTCAATTGGTGCTGCACAGAAGATTAAACTGTTACAACAAATCTGTTCTTTACCTCATCATTTTCTAGTGGTTCATCCAAATGAAATGAAAAAGGAAAAAATATGATTCAGAGGACTGTTCGCTTAACCTTAATCAACAAAACACAAGGTAAATATTATTCTGAATCATGGAAATCTTAATTTCAAGCCTAAATTGCTCTTTTTGTCCTGTTGGCTTTGTCGACCCATATTTCAATGAAAAAATGGTAAAAATGGCTATGCAGCCCACCTATTCCTTCAAGTATGCAGCTGCCTTGTAGGGAGATGAAGAACAGGGATACAGTGTACAATAGCTGCACAGCTACCTAGTGTGTAGTAGTAAGCTTGGACAAATACTTGGAGGAGCAGTGCATATTCCAGTTACACTTGTAGGTTCTCTCTCTGTGAAGAGTCAGTACATAATTACCTTTAGATTTCCAATACTGACACCATGAACGAATATCAGAAATTTAGAAAATTTTTCTGAATAGGAACATTCCATTGTATTTGAAAAGTCATGGCAATCAGATGAATTCCCAGTGCCTGGAAAAGAGAAGACAACACTTGTTATTATAAAGGGTGTAAAATGGGACTTTGGAAACTACTGGTTAGTCATCCTCATCTCCATGCCTCATAACATCATGGAACAGACCTGCCTGGAAGCCAGGCAAGCACATGAAAGGCAGAAATGTAATTAGAAATAGCTAACATGGGTTCACCAACACAAATCATATCTGAGTAAGCTGATGGCCTTCTACGCAGAATGATGGGGCTGGCAAATAAGGAAAGAGACATCCTCTATATGGACTTGAAGTGATGCCACCCACATTTTGTCGTTATGTTGGAAAGATATGGGTTTGATGGATGAAATGTTAGATGGATAAGGAATTGATGGAACGGCCCTATCCAAGGTCTTGCAGTCTCTATGTCCTGATTGAGATCAGTTATATATGATGTCCCTCAGGGGTCTGCACCTGGGCCAGTGCTGTTTATTAATAATATAATTAATTATATTAATAATATAAACTGAGACTATTTGCATTCTTCCATTCTTTCATACTTCCAGGATGGAGTGCAGTTGATGTACTAGAGGGATGACATGCAGAGTGACCTTGACAGACTTTAGAAGTGGATGAACAGCTTGATAGCTGAACAAGATCAAGTGAAAGGTTCTGCATGTGGGTTGAGACAATCTCCAGTATCAGGACAGTCTAGGGAGCCTAGGGTATGAATGGATTGTAAGCAGCCCTATGGAAAAGGACTTGGAGATATTGACAAAAGAAAAATAGGACATGAGGCAGTGAAGTACATTTGCAGCCCAGAAAGCCAATGGCATCTTGAGTTGCAGAAAAAAACATGTGGCCAGTATGTTGAAGGAGATGATTTTCCTTCTTTACTCTGTGTTGATAAAACCTCACCTGGATTAATGCATCCAGCTCTGGGGTTCTCAGCACTAAAAACCACATGAATGTGTCAGAGAGGGTTCAGGTTGTGGTGGTGCATTCTTTATGTATTTAACAGTTGTTTTAATATAAAAGTTAGTTATTGGATGTTAGTTAGTGCAATGCTTTAATCCTTTGTACCCCCATTTTGTTCCCTCACGATGGTGTGTCCCAAGTTGTTTACACCAACCTGGCTGTCCCTCAAGTTGCCAATCTCCCTGTTCCTCCCCTCCTTCCCATATAAACTGCTGCCAAGCCAAATTTTGTTGTCTCCCCCTCCTGTCAGTCAACCCAACCCACGCCCATTTGGTTCCAGAATGTTCAGTGTCAATCACTCCTGTCCAGACAGTTGGTTTGTTCACGAGGCTTTATCCCTCCCCTGTGTTGTCTCTAATGGTTGCTACAAGCACTGTACTCCTCCCTTAGTGATTTCCCATTGGTTGTCTCATGTTTCCAACCCTTACACCCACTCCCTTTATAAACCCTAGCCAGACCCTATTTCTTTGGCATTCATCCCTGACTCATCCTTGGAGTAAATCTTCTTTGGACCTCATATGTGTGGCTTCTCCTTCGTTCCTTCAATTTGGTTTCTTTGTGGTCTTCCTGTTGTAGTGTGCAGCCTTGGCAAAGGCCCAGAAGCGACCACTCTTGTGTGTCCCTCTGGTCACACCAGGAGCTTGCTAGTCGGCATTCCACCGCTCCGTGACCACAGGAGAACCTTACCAGGTGAGGGCCTTGAAAATGGTCAAAGGGCTAGAAAAACTCTCATGTGTATAAAGGATGAGAGAGTTAAAGTTCAGAGTTTGATTATGTAAAGGATATGTGGCCTTTCAATATAAAAATGGAGCTTACAAGAATGATGGGGAGTGGATTTTTACCAGTCCCTTTATTACCGGGCTTGGGGTTATTGTTTTTAAATTGAAAAGAGGTGATGTAGATCAGATATAAAGAAGAATTTTGTTTACAGTAAGTTTGGACACTGGATCAGTTGAGTCCAATAAGATGGAAGTGTTCAAGGCCAGATTGGATAGAGTCTTGTGCAACCTGCTGTCATGAAAGATGTCATTGTCTGTGCCAGGGGACATTGGAGCTTAAAGATCCCTTCCAAACCAATCTCTGATTCTTGAACCATGAGTGCGAGAACCTCCCTGAGAGGTATTAAAACTCTATATAGAAAGCTGTTATTTTTCACAATAAGCTATTGAAGCACACCCAATAAGGAGTGATAGGGTACCTCATAATTTCTATGTTGCACAGTCAGTAATAAATTATGAAATAACTCAGAAAATTGATCAGCTTCTTGCAAAATTTTTTTGTCATTCCAAAGCACAATCTGTTACCACTACAGGGCCCAAGGAACTGATATTACTGTTTTATACCATGAACATACTCTTTCTTTCTGTGGAAGCCACTGGGATTTGATAGAATCTACAAATCTTGAAATGGACATAAATGGTTTTGGTATTTAACACCCTTTGAAATCACATACATTTTAGCAATGTGATGTGTTTCAATGATTTCTCTAAATCTGCATGATACTTTTCACAGTGGAAACACAGAAATCTGTAAAGAAGAGGTATTTCTATTATTGCTTCTACACTCATAAATCCTTACTGTTAAAAAAAGGGAATAAGACAATGGATTAGTTTGCATACTTGATGGAAAACCATCTGAATATTTGTTCTCAGTCAGGTAGAGGCAGTACAGTTAGCTCTAACAGTTTTAATATACTTCTATGCTTAGTTTTTTAACTGACGTAGTTGAGTAGCTCATACTCAAAATTATTCCTCTTTCACACACCACATAAAAAATTTCATCTAACAGACATAGAGATACAGTCCGTTTATCATTCAGTGCATACCACACTTCAAGAAAAATGATTATTTTTTCTACTGGAAGAATAGGCACAACCACCCTTCTCCCATTTATGAGAAGGGCACTGCAAGCGAGATTTAAAAAAAATTAGGATTTAGAAAAATTTATTATTGTGGCAATCCATCTGAAATGCAGATGATTCCTTAGCTCTTAAGTTCACTCTATTGGTTCTTCACTGGTTTACTTCTGCCATTGCTCCTTTTCAGAGGTACAAGTGAGACAATGATTTGGACACATGACAAATATGCATCTGCAAATATTGTATTGGTGAAATACCTTTTGGAGCTGAACAATTCACCACACCACTGAGCTGTAATAGCTAATTATCACTAGTGGCACAAACTACTGAATTGTTCAGCTTATCTATAATGACACTTTATGCATTGCTTCTGTTAAAATGTTCAGTTGTCGATTACTTACAAGTTGATGGATGCCTCCAATCATCAGTCGTTTGGAAGGAATATTTCTTTGGAAGGAATAGATTACTCTGGGTTTTGAAAACACAAAGCTGAGTGGGGAAAATTGTCTCTTACAGACCACAAATATCACCTGGAAAATGACTCTTGGTTAACAATCTGCTTGGCACTCATGAGATATAAAAAAACCCCTGAACAGCAAACAATTTTTTGTGTTAATATCTATCACTTTTTTGAAATGTAAAAGATACACAATTTTTAATTATTTTATTCTTTGGAACAATTTAATCTCTTCTGTACTGCAATGCTCTGCAAGCTTGAATTTTATGGAATTAATAGAATAATTATTATAAATCAGATATTTATTTCATATTAAAAACATATTTGAAGTTCCCAATTAAAAACAAAGAAAACCCAAGGCTCCACCCAAACTGCATGGTGTCATTTATTTTGCAGACACATTTATTTACAAACAAGGCAAATATGACCAAGTATGGTAAAAGAGTTTCTTATTTCCTTGAAACATTTTTGAAACATCAATAGAAAAATTCACAATTATGTTTTCTCAGTTATAGAATCAAAAGAAAAATCAGTAGGTGACAATGCTTCTATTTACTGTAAGTGCCTGTTAAGTGACTGTATTATCTGTAAACAGACATATTTTGTTGTGAAAGATAATTTCTTAAGCTTGCCTTTTTTGCTTTATTTTTGTTTTGTTTTGTTGTTACAAATTTGATTTTGAATTATTTAAAGCCAACTGTGGCCTCCACCTTTTCTTCATATCTCTTGTAGGTTGTCAAAAAGCATTCATTTCTTTACCAATAGTAAACATCTGACACTTCTTTACCAATAGTAAACATCTGACAGTGTCAGATGCAAAAATGTCTCTTAAAGACACAACTCTGAAGTAGAGTCTATTAATTTCTGTAACCAGGTTATTACTTTGCTACGTGTGTTTTAAGTGTTACACATCTTCACCGAGAAAATACAAAACCCAAAGTCCTATTACTAAGTAAAATCTTCCATTTCAAAAGAGGTTCAATGAGCATTGGAAACCCTTTCATGCTGCCTGAACAGAGATTCTGTGAGAGGACAGAAAGAACTTCTTGTGTTCTCACACATGGGTTGTAGCTGGGGGTGGAAAATATTTTATAAAATGCTTCTAGTGATAGACTTATACATCAAATAGAATACATAAGTCATCTTTTTTGAGAAAACATTTTTTTAAAGCCCATAATTTATTTCACAGTCTAGGTATTTTATTTTCCCAACTCAGTTTCCATTTTCATTCTAATGAACTCATATGAGAAAACTCTCTGTGGTAGTTGGTGTTTTTACAATTGTTTTAATATAAAAGTTGGAATTTCTATGTCAGTCAGTTATAATGGTTTCTCCCATGTTCCTCATTTTGTTCCCTCAGATGGTTTGTTCCTAAGTTGTTTATACTACATAGTTTTCCCCACACTTGCCTGCCCATCAGTGTGGTACTCTCCCTGTTCCTCCCCTCATTCCCTTATAAGCTTCTGTCAATCCCAGTTGTTCTGCCCCCTACTCTTGTCCATCACTGGAGTCACTCCCTTCATGTTCTTAAACGTTCTGTTCTGTTAGCCCTGTCTCAATGGTTCATTGGTTTATAAGGTTTCTTCCCTCCCCTGAATGATCCCTATTGGTTATGTTAAGTGGTCTAGTCCTTCCATAAGATCCCCTGATTAAATGAGAGTCGTATCCACCCTTTCTACCACCCCCTCTTTAAAAGTGCTAGTCGGACCCATTTTCTGTGTCACTTGTTCCTGTTGTTTATTCAGGGTAA